CCGCCCTGCTTCTCACACGAGGCTGCGAGAGGAGCACGGTTTGCAATGGGAGCCCTGGTTGCCCAGTGGTTCAGCACTTGGCTGCTAATGGAAGGGTCAGCAGTTGGAAGCCACCAGCTGCTCTGCGGGAGAAGGAGGTGGCAGTCAGCTCTGACAATGTATGCAACCTCATGGGGCGGTTTCCCTCTGTCGTGTGGGGTGACGATGAGCCTGCTCCACTTAACGGGAAAGGGTTGAGTGTTTGGGGGTGGGCAGCAGTGTTTTTTAAGGGCAACATGATGGCACTGCCCAATGCTGTCTTCTCAGTCTTTTTCTTCTGTGGCTGGGGGAAACCCGTTGCTAGGGGACACTCTGTTAGTCTGGGTACATTAGAGAAACAAATCCACAGAAACTCATGTACAAGAGAAAGTTTTATATAAAGGTAGGTGCACATCAAGGAAACATCCCAACCCAGGGCTGCCCAAGCCCACAAGTCCAACATTAGTCCATATTTCTGCCACCAATCACAAAGTCCTCCTCCATCTCACAAAACACACACTATGACGCCGACTGCAGGAGGAAAGCGGAGTCTGCATTGGGGTAGGTCCATGCGGCTTCTCTAGGGGATGTCATGCAGGAAGTGAGCCTTGCCAGCTGAAGCAGGGAACTGGCTAAGGCAGCTGCACCTTCGTCCAACCGTCAGAAAGCAAGAGACCCAAGAACTAGAAAGGTGAGACTCACTGAGCCATTTAGCCCTCCGCCCTTCAATTAACCCCACATGTGTTTCTCGGCTAGGTTGGCACAATAAACTTTAACTACCTCAGGCACTCTGTCCTTTCTCTGGTCTGTCTCCTCATTTGGAAGCTGAGAAGCCTGGGCCGGGCGTCCTTTGGGTCCTTTTCCAGGTCTAACTTGCCTGGAAGGACTCTGTGAATGCTGGTAAACACAGATACAGCAGCCGTGATTGCTGTACAGCAAAGACTTTTCCTGCCCCATGTTTTGTTTTTAGAAGCAAGTTTATTAGAGAGCATGAAATGAGATGACTACAATGTCAGGGAACATGAGGTTACATCAGGACATTAGAGAATGTCATGCCATCAGATTAGCCCCATGCTTCCACAGCAGTCAGCCGCAGAGAGAAGGCTTTCCAAAGACCACACGGCTGTGTTTCCCTTCTGCTTCTTGCTCTCCTCTCAAGATGATGCTTTTCCTGGCTTGGAGAATCCCTGGGGCCATATCACGGCCGGCTGAGGGTGTTTCTCGCTCGCACACGGTGGGCAGGTATTCACCCGTGTGCTAGTGCTGGCCTGGAGCCCAGGTGAAGGGGACCATGGCTGCGACAAAGCATCCATGTCATCCCTCACACCGGGTGTTGCCTCCTGTTTCACATCCGGGTGACCAAGGTGGCTGGTGTGTTTCAAATGACTTCAGCTGGCAGGGTTGCTGGTGGAGAGTGTAGGCTGTTACGCCCTCTGGGATGGCGAGTGCCATTGTGGTTGATGGCAGAGAATGGATGGGCTGGCAACTGAGAGGATTAGGCATTGTGGATGGAGCTTGGGATGCAGACACGAGCACTCACGCTTGACCCTGCATGTGTTCCACCTCCATTGTCCTGCCTTCACCTCTGAATCAGGAAATACACCTTCTGACTGGATCTTACCTGATGCCAGGACTAGGTAGTGTCCCTACTTTGAATTCCACGGAAGTATGATGATGCCCTCAAGGCTTCCATTTGGAAGGAAGGCATCAGCTCCACTTCTCTAGAGTCTGGAAGTGACGAATCCTGGTGCCATCCCTGGAGGTGGTGAGCGGGTGCCAGGCTTCTAGGCCTTTCCCTGTGGCAGAGCTCCTCTGCAGGGTCTTAAGTCACCCAAGGAGATGGCTCACCTTCAAAAGACAGCTTTTCACTGACTGACTGACTTTTCTGTCTTCCTGCTGGATGCTGCTGGACCACATGGAGCCAGCTACCCGCTTGCATCCCTGTTGCCATCACTACTCTCCTGGCTCTCTGCATTCTTAGGCCAATGACCAAGATTCTTTACTGGGCCCTCCAGGCACAAGTTCTTTCCACTTCAGAGGAGCCAGTACACTCTTTCTACATTCGTCTTTCTGATGTGCAATCTTGCTGCTCCATGGTGCGCTTCCCACTGCCTTGAAAATTAAGTAAAAGTGCTTATCACAGAGTGCAAGCACTGTAACGCATGGCTCAGCCATGCCCCTGCCCAATGAGCAGCCTGTCCACAGCCACAGTCTCTGACCATGTACCATCTCTGGCTACCCGCTGCCTTTGTTCTCTAAGTCTGCGGTGCATCCTCATCCCCACTGCACAGCTTTGCCTGCTGATACCGTGCTCCCTTTATAAACTCCAGCGCCAACTGATGTCTGATTAAGGACTTACTAGAACCTCTCAATGTATGTGGTTATCCTCTACTCAGAGCCCCCAGAGCATGCATTTATGTTTCCTTTATGGTGGTGACAATCTACTTTCTACTACAGATTCTTTATGCCTTATCTTCAAAGAGGGTAGGGATGATGATTTTTACATTGAAATTCTCTACAGAAATACCATGGTGTCACAACAGTAAGTTCAGGTACTTACTGAATCGCTGGTTGTTGGCTTGAACCCACTTAGAGATTCCAAGGAAGAAAGGCCTGGCAACCTCTTCTTATAAAGATTACATCCATGCAGACATTAGGGGGAAGCTCTACTCTGTTGCTACCGGTCCAGAGGAACTTGATATACCCAACCACCAACATCCCTTGGAAGGTGACAGAGTTCTTTGTCTGCAGTAAGTATAATAGAGCCCTGAAGGATATTGTGGAATGAGCCCCACACAGAAAGTCACACAGGCCTGGAGGTGAATATTAACTATATTGTTGTGGTCAAGTTACATAGACACTTTAAGCCCTAGTTTACCCAAATGTAAAATAAAACAGGGTGCCCCTGAGTTGATTTCAACTCAAGGGAAGCCAGTGGGTATCAGAGTAGAGCTGTGCTCCATGGGATTTTCAATGGCTGCAGTCTTTCAAAGTGGATCTCCAGCCCTTTCTTCTGATGTGTTTCAGGGTGGACTTGAACCTCTATCCTCTCTGTTAACATCTGAGTACACTAACCATTGGCATCAGAGTATGATGGTGTTTTCCCCTAAGGCAGTGGTTTTCAACCTTCCTAAGGCCACAGCCCTTTAATACAGTCCCTCATGTGGTGACCCCCAACCATAACATTATTTTTGTTGCTACTTCATAACTGTAATTTTGCTATTGTTATGAATCAGGTGATTCCTGTGAAAGGGTCATTTGAACCCCAAAGGGGTCGCGACCCAAAGGTTGAGAACCACTGCTCTAAGGGTTGTTACAAACCTCACATGAGATAATATATGTAAGCCACCCTTTTAATGTATGAGGTACACACAAGTATAAGTGTAAGCTGTCAATATTTGG